CACTGACAGCCTGGGCAAAAGGCTCCATGCACATTATGAATAAAACCGGTGACATCGGGCACCCCTGCCGCACACCGGACCCAATTGGAAACCCTTCCGAGAGGACTCCATTTATTAGCAGGCTACCTGTGAGCTTATGATATAGTTTCCTTATCCAGTCAATAAGCCGTTTCCCCACCCCCATTCGCCTCAAAACCGCGAACAAATAATCGTGCGAGATGCTATCAAATGCCTTCTCCTGATCCAAACTGAGTAGTCCCAATGAATTACCCCTCTCCACAGTGGTTTCCACCACCTCCCTCAACAGAACGAGGTTATCGGATATCCGCCTGCCCGGAACCGCACACTTCTGGTCAGACCCCACCACCTCCCCCACCACCTCCCCCAGCCGCGCCGCGATAACTTTGGCCAGGATTTTATACTCGGGTGTTCAGCAGGGTGATCGGGCGCCAGCTCCCGAGGTCACTGCGCTGCCCCTTCCCCTTGTATACAAGGGTTATGACCCCTCTTGTCATTGAATCTGGCACAGGGCCTTCCTCCGTAATTTCCTTATACATCTGCCACATATCGTCTCTGACAGTATCCCAAAACGTAACATAGAATTCAGCCAGTATCCCATCTACCCCTGGTGCTCTGTGCCGACGTAATCCCCCACCACCTCATCCAATTCTGCCCTCTGGATATGCTTGTTCATCTCCTCTGGAGTCCCAATAACCCTATCTACCCCCCCTAGCAGTGTGCTCCGCGCCCCTTCGTCTGACAGCCTACTCCTGTACAATTCCTTGAAGTAACCCCTGGCAGCCTCCGTTATCTCCTCTGTGTGCTTGAGTCTACCTAACCTGGGACATACCAATTCTCGGATTGTGTTGTCCGCTTTCCTGCATTTCTTGAAGAAAAAACGCGTGCAACGCTCACCCTCCTCGACCGCCTTCACCCGAGCCCTGAAAGCAAGTTGCGCGGCCTGCTTCTCCAACACCACAGAGATCCTATCTTTCAGTTGCTTTATTTCTCCCATGACGGGGAATCCCAGTTCCATCAGTTTCTACGCTCCCTCCAATCTCTCATTCAATCCCCGCAACACAACCCCTACGCTCCTCCTTCTGCTCTGGGACTGGAAAAAGGTCTTAATTCGCCCCTTCACCATTCCCCACCATTCAGCTATCGTGCCAAAGCAGCACCGCAGGCTCCTCCATTCCTCGTACTGCCTGACAAATTCCTCCACCACCTTTTTGTCCTCCAGCAGTCCCGAGTTCATGTGCCAGATTCCCCTTCCCAACCTCAGCCCATCTGGGATTCTGAGCCCCCCAGCTATCATCTTATGGTCGGAAAAAGAGAAAGGTTCGTTTTCCACCCTCTCCACCTTAACCTTGGCAGAGACAAAGAGGAAATCAATCCTCGAGTGTGAGGTTCCCAAACAACTCGACCACGTGAACCCTGGTCACTTTGGGTGTAATGACCGGTAAGAGTTAATCAAATCAAAATCTTCAACCAAAGCCCCCAGCCTCCTAGAAGAGGGGTCCAACTTTCGACATCCGGCGACTGGCAGTGTGTCCGCCAGGGTTAGCGGGCAATTAAAATCACCCCCCATGACGATGTGCCTTCGTGTTAGCAGCAAGGCTGCCACCTTCTCTAGCAACTCCACACGTTCCGGAGAGCCTGTGGGGGCATACACATTGATCAGCCGGACCGCCGCCCCACCATATGCAACATCGACATAGTGGAGTCGTCCCGGGACCACTTCTCGGGCCTCCTGCACCTCTATGTTCTTTCTACCTAGGAGGATAACCACTCCTGAGCACCTATTAACATTGCTTCCGGACCAGAAGCAGTGTCCCTCCCAGTCCCTAGCCAGATCCTCTCGACCAAGGGAGTATGGCAAGTGGCACTCCTGTAAAAAGTAAACGTCCTTTTTCAGGGACCGTAGGAAATGTAGAATGGCCCCCCACCTAGCCCTGCCCCACATTCCCCTCACGTTTACTGATGCTACCGTGAGGTCCATACCCAGAATTGCCTCTCCCTACCCAGGCTCGTCGTCCAATAGTTCGTACAGGTTTGTGTCAGCCAATCCCTGCAACTGTTCCGCTCTCCTAGGCTCCTTGGGCAGCCCTCTTCCCTGATTGGTCTTAGCCGCCACGGCACCATCTTCCGACGACCTCGCGTCCATCGAGGAGTCTGTTGCCTCCAGGTCCCGTTTGCGGGTCGTCCTCGCTGGGCCACGCGGTGCTTTCCGCTTCCTTTTCACCACCTTCTTGAATTTCTCCCTCCTGGTGCTCTCCCTCTGCTGCTCCTCTCCATCCTCCCCCGCCTCCACCGCCTCCGCCCAGTCAACCACCGTTGGGTCGGGGGGTTTTCCCACGGGCTCCTCGTCCTTGTCCCCGGGGTGCTCCTAACTGCCGGCCCGTGGGATCCGCGTCTTCCTCCGACGTCATCTCCCCCTCCTCCCTCCTGTCCTGCAGTGGCGTACCCTGCCTGCCCACCTCTCCACCCCCGTCCTCCATCTTCCCGCCGGGCTGCGTTGGCTTCAGCCCGTCCTCGGCCACCTCCCCTTCTCCATCCGCCACCCTGCTCCTATGTGCGCGGACCTTGTTTGCGTACGACAGCGGGCAGTCCCTGTACAGGTGGTCTTTATTCCCGCATAGGTTGCACAATGCCGGGGCGCAGCATTCTGTCAAAACATGGTCCCGTGCCTTGCATCGGAAACATATCCGTGCCTCGCACACTGCAGCCAGATGGCCGCTTCCCCCACATCGCCTGCAGAGCTTCGGCTGCCCCGCATACACCACGTAGCCCCTATTGCCACCAATGTTCAGGGCGCTCGGGATGTGTTGCAGAGCCCCTTCTGCCGTTCTCAACCTCACTCGCCATTGTCTGGCGCCCGTCCAGATCTCTAAAGAGTCTTGGACCCATTTACTGTCCGAAAGCACCAGGCAGTGCTGCCTCAGCCACACCTCGACGTCGTGGTCTGGCAGAGTCTCATTATACAAAAACACGGTGACAATTTTTGTGTCTAGCTCGGAGAGCAGTTGGAGCTTAAGCAATGACAGTGGCCTCTCCCCCGCCTTCTCCTCGAACAAAGTCCTAAAGCGTTGCAGCAAGTTACTTGTCTTGAAGCTCACATCAAAAGCCCGGCCACCCGGCAGGGCAATCAAACAAAACAGATCCGCAGGATCCACTCGCAGAGTTTATATCATCACAGACCGCACAAACCTCGGTCTGTCGATAGTGACTTCCTCTGGCACGTCCTCTTTGAAGGACATCCGTACACAATTGTGCCGCTTGGCGTGTATCGGGGTGAAGTTCCCCCCCGATCCCCCGCGCCACCGCCCTGCGCGCTCCTGGGGCCGCCCTGCCCCCACAGGTCCAGGACTTGCCTGGACAGCGTCGCTTTGGGCACCTTGCGCCTGCAGGCCCGCCGAGCTCAGTGCTTCCTCCGCCTCCTCTCCTGGACTGGCCGACACCATTCCACTCCTCGTCGGCTCCTCTCCCTTCCTCGCCCGCTGCCACCAGGCGTCCTCCTCCGCTCGCCTCGAGGTAGACGCGCGCCTCGTCCCTCTCCTCTGCGGGTCTCCCTCCTCCAGGCAGTCCCACCTCACCATCCTCCGCCTCTGCAGCAGCCAACCCGGCCTGCTCACCTTGGCTCACCACCCCAGAGCGCTTGGTCGCCATGCCCCCGAGGGCCTGCGAGGCTGCCACTGGCCAGGCAGCCAGGGAGCCGAGACTTGGCACGACACCAGCAGAGATACAGAGGCACCGCACCACCAACCCCCCCCCCCCCCCCTCCTCATCGGGCAATTCGCCAGAATGGTGAGGCTCTGCTCTTGCTCCCGGTCTTAAATAGAGCAGCAGCAGGGTGACGTCATCATTTAACTCATCAGGTGCAACGATTTGAGGCAGAGGGGGGATTATTGTAATTATATACTAGATTAGTAATCAGGCTGTTGTTACGATGTGAGTTGTAGATTAGTAATCAGTTGTAATGTGTTTTATTGTAATTATATGCTACGTTAGTAATCAGTTAATTAGTATGTTTCCCCTAGAAGGAATTGTAATATGTATTATTTAATAATACGCTTCCAGGCCGCACTAAGCCTGTAGCTGTCTGAGCGGTTAAAGTTATTTCGGTTTCTCTCACTTTCAATGGATTCTCTAATTAGTCTTTGCCAGTAATAATTTAGCCTACGTGTTAAACTAAATGTTTTAACCGGCGAAGATGTTCCATTAGGGGGGATCCGTGTTTTGCAAGCGTAGAGAAGGGAGGGAATGACTGTGGCCGAGAAGACCTCAAGCTTCGTGTGGAGTGACAGACCAGGTAGCTTCCACACAGCATTACGCAACCGATGAAAAGAAAATGCCACTCGACTAATTCGGAGTAAGACCTCTGCTGTTAAACCGGAGCCGGTCATGAGCACACTGGCCAGGTATGGGAATCTCTCCAATCTCTCCACAACTGCCGCATCACCAATTGTGAATTGTGGGGGTGGATTGTCCGATGGTACAAAATACCCAGGCAGGTGCTTAGTTTTGGTGGGGCTGATGGTAAGGCCCCACCTCTTAGTGCCAAGCTCCAGGTTCAGCAGCAGTGCCTCCAACTCCTCCTCTGAGTGAGCAGCAATCACCAGAGCATCGACATACATAACATGGTTGACCAATAGGGAGCCATCCCTTGACCGCACCCGGGCATCGATCAGCCTCCCATTGTATCTGTACCATATGGTAATTCCTCTGGTACAGCCATTGAAAGGCTTCATGAACTATGTGGTCGAAAGATATGTTAAATAATGTGGGAGCCAGAGGACATCCCTGTCACACCCCAAGGTGTAGACTGTAGTGTATAGTGGTGTAGTGTGTAGCGTAGTGTATAGTGGTATAGTGTGTAGTGTATAGTGGTGTAGTGTATATTGTAGTGTATAGTGGTGTAGTGTAGTGTATAGTGTAGTGAATAGTGTAGTGTGTAGGTGCTGGCGAAGAACAAACTATGAACAGCAGCAACAAGCAGCAGCTTGAAAGAACTGTGTTTATTTATCTCCCCGTGGTGTCTGAATCATCCCTCGTCGCTGAACCCCCTGAACCCCTTCCTGGACATCAAAGAGCTTTACAGCTCATGGGATTTCCCTCCTCCCGCAGGAGATGCACAAAGACCTCGCAATGCTGTTTCAAATCTCGACTTAGCGCTTTGTTCGCGACCGCAGCGATTCATATTCTTTGGGTCTTTCGGCAAAGTCACGTAGATGGGCTCAAAGAAAACAACAAAAAACAACAAGAACGACGACGTTTGGATCGCCGCCACGCCGAGCTGTGCTCTCTCCGCTGCTGGAATCGCGACAACGCAAGCCCAGCAGGCCCAGGGGGCGGAGCCAGTGACGTCACGTGCTCTCAGCTGCACGTGACGTCAGAACCCGCGGGAGCGGGTCTGACAGAGCTACCTCTGAGCTCCACTTCTATAAGTGACGATTGAATGGAACCCGCAGAAGTGGACACCACAGAACTACCTCTGAGCCCCACTTCTAGACGTGACGCTGGAATGGAACCCGCAGAAGTGGATCTGACAGAACTGCCTCTGAGCTCCACTTCTATAAGTGACGCTTGAATGGAACCCGCAGAAGTGGACTCCACAGAGCTACCTCTGAGCTCCACTTCTAGAAGTGACGCTTAAATGGAACCCGCAGAAGCGGACGCTACAGAGCTACTGCTGAGCTCCACTTCTAGAAGTGACGCTAGAATGGAACCCGCAGAAGTGGACACCACAGAACTACCTCTGAGCTCCACTTCTAGAAGTGACGCTTGAATGGAACCCGCAGAAGTGGACACCACAGAACTACCTCTGAGCTCCACTTATAGAAGTGACGCTTGAATGAAACCCGCAGAAGTGGACACCACAGAACTACCTCTGAGCCCCACTTCTAGAAGTGACGCTGGAATGGAACCCGCAAAAGTGGACACCACAGAGCTACCTCTGAGCTCCACTTATAGAAGTGACGCTTGAATGGGACCCGCAGAAGTGGACACCACAGAACTACCTCTGAGCCCCACTTCTAGAAGTGACGCTTGAATGGAACCCGCAAAAGTGGACACCACAGAGCTTCCTCTGAGCTCCACTTATAGAAGTGACGCTTGAATGGAACCCGCAAAAGTGGACACCACAGAGCTTCCTCTGAGCTCCACTTATAGAAGTGACGCTTGAATGGGACCCGCAGAAGTGGACACCACAGAACTACCTCTGAGCCCCACTTCTAGAAGTGACGCTTGAATAGAACCCGCAAAAGTGGACACCACAGAACTTCCTCTGAGCTCCACTTATAGAAGTGACGCTTGAATGGGACCCGCAGAAGTGGACACCACAGAACTATCTCTGAGCCCCACTTCTAGAAGTGACGCTGGAATGGAACCCGCAGAAGTGGACACCACAGAGCTATCTCTGAGCCCCACTTCTATAAGTGACGCTTGAATGGAACCAGCAGAAGTGGATGTCACAGAGCTACCTCTGAGCATGCTGGGTAAATTGCGTGGCAGCAGTCAAACCGAGAATTTATTTCTCCCAGCTCGGGAGCAAAGCAGAATCAAGTGCATTGTGGGTAACCGCGAGTGGCGAGTACAGCACCGCCCACCCCCCCCCCCCCCCTGCAATACTTGACCCTGATTGGTCCACGCCATTTGGGGTCGTAGCGAAGCGGACCCCGATTGGTCGTCGAGTTTTACGGGGTGCGGTAACGAAGTCTCTGATTGGTCGCGGTGTTCGGGGTTGTAGTAACGGTGTCTCTGATTGATCGCGGTGTTCGGAGTTGTAGTAACGGTGTCTCTGATTGGTTGCGGTGTTCGGGGTTGTAGTAACGCTGTCTCTGATTGGTTGCGGTGTTCGGGGTTGTAGTAACGGTGTCTCTGATTGGTCGCGGTGTTCAGGGTTGTAGTAACGGTGTCTCTGATTGGTCACGGTGTTCGGGGTTGTAGTAACGGTGTCTCTGATTGGTTGCGGTGTTCGGGGTTGTAGTAACGGTGTCTCTGATTGGTCGCGGTGTTCGGGGGTTGTAGTAACGGGGTCTCTGATTGGTCGCGGTGTTCGGGGTTGTAGTAACGGGGTCTCTGATTGGTCGCGGTGTTCGGGGTTGTAGTAACGGGGTCTCTGATTGGTTGCGGGGTTCAGGGTTGTAGTAACGGGGTCGCTGATTGGTCGCGGTGTGGTCGGGTTGTAGTAACGGTGTCACATGCGCTGCACGGGCGTGAGGCCCAGGATGTGGAAGCAAGTCTCCATCACCATGGCGGTCGCCTCACACAGCAGCAGGCGGCTCATGTTCACCTTCACCACCTCACCTGGTGAGCGGTGGCGGGGGGGGTAGGGGGGGGGTGAGAAAGTGGGCGGGTGAGTGGGTGGGTGAGTGTGTGGGTGAGTGGGTGGGTGGGTGAGTGGGTTGGTGAGTGGGTGGATGAGTGAGTGGGTGGGTGAGTGGGTGGGTGGGTGAGTGGGTGGGTGGGTGGGTTGGTGGGTGGGTGAGTGGGTGGGTGAGTGGGTGGGTGAGAGAGTGGGTGGGTGGGTTGGTGGGTGGGTGAGTGGATGGGTGAGTGGGTGGGTGGGTGAGTGGGTGGGTGGGTGAGTGGGTGGGTGAGTGGGTGAGTGAGTGGATGAGTGGGTGAGTGAGTGGATGGGTGGGTGAGTGGTTGAGTGGGTAAATGGGTGAGTGAGTGAGTGGGTGGGTGGGTGGGTGGGTGGGTGGGTGAGTGGGTGGGTGGGTGGGTGAGTGGGTGGGTAAGTGGATGGGTAGGTGGGTAAGTGGATGGGTGAGTGGGTGGGTGAGTGGGTGGGTGGGTGAATGTGTGGGTGAGTGATTGGATGGGTGAGTGAGTGGGTGAGTGGGTGGGTGGGTGGGTGAGTGAGTGAGTGGGTGGGTGGATGGGTGGGTGAGTGAGTGGGTGAGTGTGGGTGAGTGAGCGGGTTAACAAGCACTCATTTCCACATCAGCCCACCTCTTCTCTAGCCCGTGTCACTCGCTCAACCACACTCATCCACGCACTCACCCACCGCTCCACCCACACCACCCACTCCACCCACCACACCACTCACCCACCCACACCACCCACACCACTCACCCACCCACACCACACGATGCACATCACCCACCCACACCACCCACACACACCACCCACCCCACCCACCCCACCACCCACACCACCCAAACAACCCACACCACTACCCACACCACTACCCACACCACTACCCAAACCACCCACCCAACCCACCCACCCACACCACCCACCCACACCACCTATCCACACCACCCACACCACCCACCCACACCACCCACACCACCCACCCACACCACCCACACCACCCACCCACGCACACCACCCACCCACACCACACACTCATACCACCCACTCACACCACCCACAACACACCACCCACCCCACTCACACCACCCCACCCACACCACCCCACCCAGACCACCCCCCCCACACCACCCACCCACCCACACCACCCCCCCCACACCACCCCACCCACCCCACACCACCCCACCCACCCCACCCACCCCACCCACACCACCCCACTCACACCACCCCACCCAGACCACCCCACCCACACCCACACCACCCACTCCACACCCCACACCACCCACCCACACCACACCACCTACCCCACCCACACCACACCACTCACCCACCCACCCCACCCACCCACACCACACAACACCACTCACACCACACCACCCACACCACTCACACCACTCACCCACACCACCCACACCACACCACCAACACCACCCACACCACCCACCCACTCACACCACACACACCACCCACCAACCACCCACAACACCCACACCACCCACCCACCCCACCCACCCACACCATCCCACCCACCCACACCATCCCACCCACCCACACCACCCACCCCACACCACACCACCCACCCACACCACCCACACCACACCACACACCCACACCACCTACACCACCCACCAGCCACACACCACCCACCCCACTCACCCACCCCACCCACCCACCCCACCCACCCACACACCACCCACCCACCCACACCGCCCACACCACACCACCCCACCCACACCACCCACCCACACTCCACCCACACCACCCCACCCACCCACACCACACCACCCACCCACACACCACCCACCCACCCACACCGCCCACACCACACCACCCCACCCACACCACCCACCCACACCGCCCCACCCACCACACACCGCACACACCACACCACCCACCCCACACCACCTACCCACCCATCCCACCCACCACACCACCCACACCACCACCCCACACCACCCACACAACACCACTCCCCCACACCACACCACTCACCCCACCCACACCACCCACCCCACCCACCCACCCCACCCACCCCACCCACACAACACCACCCACACCACTAACCCACACCACCCACCCCACACCCACGCCACAACCACTCACCCACACCACACCACCCACCCACCACACCACCCACCCACACCCACCACACCCACACCACACCACCCACACCACACTACCCACACCACCCACCCCACCCACCCCACCCCACCCACACCACCCCACCCACCCACCCCACCCACACCACACCCACCCACCCCACCCACCCCACCCGCTCACAAACCCCACACTCACTCACCCACTCACTCACCCACTCACTCACCCACCCACTCACTCACTCACCTACTCACTCACTCACCCACTAACTCACTCACCCACCCACCCCACCCACCCCACACCACTCCACCCACACCACCCCACCCACCCACCCACTCACACCACCCACACCACCCACACCACACCACCCACACTACGCCACCCACACCACCCCACCCCACACCCACACCACAACCACTCACCCACACCACACCACTCACCCCACCCACACCACACCACCCACACCACTAACCCACACCACCCACCCCACACCCACGCCACAACCACTCACCCACACCACACCACCCACCCCCCACCCCACACCACCCACCCACACCACCTGCTCACAAACCCCACACTCACTCACCCACCCACCCACCACACCCACCCACCCACCCACCACACCCACCCACCCACCACACCCACCCACCCACCCACCACACCCACCCACCCACCCACCCACACCACCCACCCACCCACCACACCACCCACCCACACCCACCACACCCACACCACACCACACCACATCACACCACCCACCCCACCCACCCCACCCACCCACACCATACCACCCACCCACCCCACCCACACCACACCACACCACCCACACCCACACACACCCACCCCACACCACATCACACCACCCACCCACACCACCCACACCACCCGCTCACAAACCCCACACTCACTCACTCACTCACTCACTCACCCACTCACCCACCCACTCACTCACTCACCTACTCACTCACTAACCCACTCACTCACTCACCCACCCACCCACTAACTCACTCACCCACCCCACCCACCCCACACCACCCACACCACCCCCACCACCCACACCACCCACACCACCCACACCACCCACCACACCCACCCACCCCACCCACACCACCCCACACCACCCACCCACACCACCCACACCACCCGCTCACAAACCCCACATTCACTCACCCATCCACTCACTCACTCACTCAACCACCCACCCACTCACTCACCTACTCACTCACTCACCCACTCAATCACTCACCCACCCACTCACTCACCTACTCACTCACTCACCCACCCACCCACTCACTCACTCACTCAACCACTCACTCACCCACCCACCCACTAACTCACTCACCCACCCACCCCACCCACCCCACACCACCCACACCACCCACCCACCCCACCCATACCACCCACCCACAAACCCCACACTCACTCACCCATCCACTCACTCACTCACTCAACCACCCACCCACCCACTCACTCACCCACCCACCCACACCACACCCACTCCACACCACCCACACTACACCACCCACACCACCCACAGCACCCACACCACCCACAGCACCCACACCACCCACCCACCCCACCCCACCCCACACCCACACCACAACCACTCACCCACACCACACCACTCACCCCACCCACACCACCCACACCACTAACCCACACCACCCACCCCACACCCACGCCACAACCACTCACCCACACCACACCACCCACCCCCCCACCCCACACCACCCACCCACACCACCTGCTCACAAACCCCACACCCACCCACCCACCACACCCACCCACCCACCACACCCACCACACCCACCCACACCACCCACCCACCCACCACACCACCCACCCACACCCACCACACCCACACCACACCACACCACCCACACCACCCACCCCACCCACCCCACCCACCCACACCACCCCACCCACACCACCCACCCACCCCACCCACACCACACCACACCACCCACACCCACCCACCCCACACCACATCACACCACCAACCCACACCACCCACACCACCCGCTCACAAACCCCACACTCACTCACCCACTCACCCACTCACTCACTCACTCACCCACTCACTCACCCACCCACTTACTCACTCACCTACTCACTCACTAACCCACTCACTCACTCACCCACCCACTAACTCACTCACCCACCCCACCCACCCCACACCACCCACACCACCCACACCACCCACCACACCCACCCCACACCACCCACTCACACCACCCACACCACCCGCTCACAAACCCCACACTCACTCACCCATCCACTCACTCACTCAACCACCCACCCACTCACTCACCTACTCACTCACTCACCCACTCACCCACTCACCCACTCACTCACTCACCCACCCACTCACTCACCTACTCACTCACTCACCCACCCACCCACTCACTCACTCAACCACTCACTCACCCACCCACCCACTAACTCACTCACCCACCTACCCCACCCACCCCACACCACCCACACCACCCACCCACCCCACCCATACCACCCACCCACAAACCCCACACTCACTCACTCACCCATCCACTCACTCACTCACTCACTCAACCACCCACCCACCCACTCACTCACCCACCCACTCCACCCACCCACCCCACCCACACCACCCACCCACAAACCCCACACTCACTCACTCACCCACCCACCCACTCACTCACCCACCCACCCACACCACACCCACTCCACCACCCCCCCCCCCCCCGTACCGGTGGTGCGATCCTTCTCCACGCAGTAGCAGGCGTCGTAGAAGTCTGTGAAGGTCCCGGCGAGCTCGTACAGGAAGTCGCACAGCGCGTGCAGCTGCAGGTCGTCCGCCGTCCGGGCCAGCACCTCGGGCAGGCGCAGGATGGCGCGGGCCAGCCGGCGCTCGCTGGCGTGACTGAGCGCCACGCCGCCGACGCGGCGAGCCTCGGAGCGCAGCTGAGCCGGATCCACGTGAGCCACTCGTGCTATCGAGCTGTGGGGGGGGGGGGGGGGTTGAAGAGCTTTATAGCTCATCGGGTTTGCTCCTGTGGCATGAATGCAGTCGGAGTGTGAGATGGGGGGAGATGGGGGGGGAGGTG